CGCTGGCACCTTCACCTGGGGCAGCCCCCACACCTGGGGCAGCCCCCACACCTGGGGCAGCCCCCACACCTGGGGCAGGGTGACACTGCAGCCCATGGGGGGGCCCTGTCCCGGCCCCCACACCTGGGACAGGTAAACGATGTGGTTGGTCCATGGCCTGGCCCCACACCTGGGACAGGTAAATGATGTGGTTGGTCCATGGCCTGGCCCCACACCTGGGACAGGTAAATGATGTGGTTGGTCCATGGCCTGGCCCCCACACCTGGGACAGGTAAGTGATGTGGCTGGTCCATGGCCTGGGCCCACACCTGGGACAGGTAAACGATGTGGTTGGTCCATGGCCTGGCCCCACACCTGGGCAGGTTAAGGGTGTGCTCAGTCCATGCCCCAGCCCCACACCTGGGGTAGGTTAAGGGTGTGCTCGGTCCCTGTCCCACACCTGGGGCAGGTTAAGGATGCGCTCAGTCTGTGTGCCATCCTGCACACCTGGGCAGGTTAAGGGTGTGCTTGGTTTGTGTCCCACACCTGGGCAGGTTAAGGGTGTGCTCAGTCCGTGTCCCAGCCCCACACCTGGGCAGGTTAAGGGTGTGCTCAGTCCAATGTTCAAACCCCACACCTGGGCAGGTTAAGGGTGTGCTCAGTCTGTGTGCCATCCTGCACACCTGGGCAGGTTAAGGGTGTGCTCAGTCCATGTCCCACACCTGGGCAGGTTAAAGGTGTGCTCGGTCCGTGTCCCACACCCGGGGCAGGTTAAGGGTGTGCTCAGTCCATGTTCAAGCCCCACACCTGAGGCAGGTTAAGGGTGTGCTCAGTCCATGTTCCACACCTGGGCAGGTTAATGATGTGCTCGGTCCGTGTCCCACACCTGGGCAGGTTAAGGATGTGCTCGGTCCATGTTCAAGCCCCACACCTGGGGCAGGTTAATGATGCGCTCAGTCCGTGTGCCATCCTGCACACCTGGGCAGGTTAAGGGTGTGCTCAGTCCATGTCCCACACCTGGGCAGGTTAAGGGTGTGCTCAGTCCGTGTCCCACACCTGGGGCAGGTTAAGGGTGTGCTCAGTCCGTGTCCCAGCCCCACACCCGGGGTAGGTTAAGGGTGTGCTCGGTCCGTGTCCCACACCTGGGCAGGTTAAGGGTGTGCTCGGTCCGTGTCCCACACCTGGGCAGGTCGAGCCCCCCCCCCACGGGGGGCAGCCCCTACCCGTGCCCCAGGCTGACGATGCGGTCGATGAGCTGGGCCCGCGTCCGCTGCACCTCCGCGCTCAGCCGCTGGATCTCGGCGCGGAGCCGCTCGTTGTGCGCCGTCAGCCCCCGCCCCCGCCGCTCCCCGGCCCGCTCCGCCCGCCCCCCGTTCCGCCCCCGCCGCTCCAGCCGCTCCCCGTTCCGCTCCCGCCGCTCCGGCCGCTCCCCGTTCCGCT